TGTTAAGCTGCTAAGATTCCTTGTAGTTTTGCATTATTAATTCCCAGTTGGCTAAGACTTGAACTTGCGTTTGTTTTTAAGGTTTACGTGATTGGTGAGGATGGAATATTGAAGGAGCTCGAGTTAGCTGGGTTTCAGTATATTGGGGGCCCGGTATGTCAAAATATCAACAATTTTCACGTCACTCCACAATTATCTCTAGTATACACATTGTTTCTGACATGTTATATGTTTCCCAATTCCAATAAATGGTCAATAAGTGAACACCGTCACTTTTGCCAGATTGTCATATCTGCAGAAATACTAGACTGCAAGTTTAGTTACTTTTGTGGATTTTGGTTCTTTAGATTGCTAAAGGTTTATTCAACCATATGCCTTCTTCTGTTGATTCTTGAGACCTCGTATTCATCTTGGCCTTTACTTGATAACTTGTTTATTTTCAACTCCTGTCTTAGCTTATTTGCATATCATCTCATGCAGGCAGATGGCGATAAAAAGATAGAACTGAAACCTGGATTTTTGATGGAGCATGATGAGGATGTAAGGATATATTATTCCTCACTTCTAGTTTAACGTTTTTGTTATGGATTAAGCAAAAAGCTATTGTAACGCAACTCTATAAATGCACTTGTACTGAAAGCTCTGTCAATCTCCATTCAGGTCGGGGCAGTTGTCGTTGGATTTGATCGTTATTTCAATTACTACAAAGTTCAGTAAGTTTCCCTGTATTTTATCCTCCTGACACAACTGATCGTTGCAGCTAGCCTGCTTAACTAGTAGAATTTATTACTGAAAAGATCAAATTGAAAAATGCCAAATACCCGAAAGTATTCAAACTTCATCTCTGTGTATGTCCTTAGTTTTTTAGAGGCCCGTTGTTTCTGTATCTCTAACAATCTCTTTCTGTTTTGTGTTTCTCGTGCTTAATCCATAACTTTGGTTTCCATCATCAAGGTACGGAACTCTGTGTATACGTGAAAACCCGGGGTGTCTTTTCATTGCAACAAACCGTGATGCTGTCACTCATCTAACGGATGCTCAAGAATGGGCAGGTTTTGTTTTCTGAACCCTTAGCTAGCTTGTTCAATATCTTAACAAAATATTAAGTTGGTAGTAGCAGCTATTTAATTGTGATTTGGAGCACAAATAGGAGTGTTAAATGCTCATCGATCCTCGAGAGTTTCTGTGATTGCATATCGTTACGTTGCTTGTTTCAGGTGGTGGCTCAATGGTTGGTGCCCTAGTAGGATCAACACAGCGTGAGCCTCTGGTTGTAGGGAAGCCTTCAACTTTCATGATGGACTACTTAGCAAACGAGTATGATCCCAAATAATCCAAATATAATATAATGCGTTATCTTGTAACTCTCGATCTTCTCTCTCGATATCTTACTCGTCTTCAATTCATTGGAACCCATAACAGATTCAACATCCAGAAATCCCAGATATGCATGGTTGGTGACAGGCTCGACACCGACATACTTTTCGGCCAAAATGGTGGATGCAAAACTCTTCTTGTTCTCTCAGGTAATAACCAAAGTGCAAATTCATCTTCATTTTGATTCTCAATCAGTACATAGCCATTAACCAGGTAGTTTCAACTGTGTTTCCAGGTGTGACGAGTTTATCAACCCTTCAAGATTCCAAAAACAAAATACAGCCAGACTTTTACACCAACAAGATATCAGATTTTCTTTCTCTGAATGCTGCCACAGTTTAGGTTAACAGTCAAGTCATCACCATGGCCTACCACTATATCTTTCTCTGTACTACTAAACCATTCATTAGTCATTACTCCTTGTACATCATCCATCTATCAATCTCCATTTTTTGTTGAGCAGAAGGTTGGAGATTGATAATTAGACATTGCATACAAAGGGAGTTATGTTGCAATTCAATTTGTAAAGAAAAGGCCTACTATGAACCACTCCATTTTTATCATATTTAAGTATAATCAAGTAATATAACAATTATTATTAGATAGACTTTAGATTTTACGTTTGTATGTTTTTTAAATTATTATATATATGTTGGGACCATGGGACACTGACAGTTGTTATATTATAGACCGCGGTGCATAATTGATTATGCACCGCGGTTCATATACGGCGCCGTTTCTTTAAGTAAAGAAACGGCCCGCCGTTAGAGTTAACGGAGTCCGTTTGTTTGGTGTATTAAACACCAACTGACACTACAGTATATCCAAACCGACACTGCAGTTATATCAAAATGATACTGTAGTTATAGTGAAATGAAACTGCAGTGTATATAAACTGAAACTGAATAACATTTCACATATTTAAGTGTATATTGTACAATGAAACTGTAATTATATCAAAATGATCATGTAGTTGTGTTTTTTTTTTTTTTTTTTTTGAGGAAATGTAGTTGTGTTTTAATAAAACTATAGTGTATATAAAATAAAATTAAATAACATTTTCACATATTTGAGTCTATAAATATCGAATGAAACTATAGTTATATCGAAATGAAACTGTAGTTGTGTTCAACTGAAACTGCAGTGTATACAAAATGACACTGAATAACAGAGTTACTTTTTGCAAAAGGGTGCGAAACGGCGGAAATAAACACTGTTAATTTTCATTTAAAAAAAAAAAAAAGACGCGCGATGCATAATCGATTATGCACCGCGGTGCATAATATAATTTGCCGGACACTGAGTGGCTATTTTATTGGGAACGAAGATCTTGGCCCAATGGGGTATCCGTTTTTATTTGTGATGTTTTAGCCCAAGAAAAATAAAAGCCTTGGTGGGTTAGGAAGGAAGGAAGCATAGCGGCCCAAAAGAAGAAAGCAAAATGGTAATGAGGTACTACAAACAAGGTTTGAACTACCAACTCGCTACTTTATATCTTGTGTACTAAAGAGTATGACGTTCTACTTATTTATGTAGCAAAGTAGTGCGGTCTCATGTATAATATAGATGAGAGGCAAATCAAGGTGATACATTTGTCAAGCATTTGGAGATCTTTTAGTTCACTATAATCATTATAGTCTAGTGGCTTATGATTCTAATAATTTTCAACCGAAGCATCAGGATTCGAGCAATTTGATCTCATAAAATCATCATTATAGATATAAATTAATAACTTTCAATCGAAGCATCAAGATTCGAGCAATTTGATCCCATAAAATTATCAGTATAAGTATAAATTAATAACTTTCAACCGAAGCATCAGGATTCGAGCAATTCAATCTCATAAAATCATCATTATAAATATAAATTAATGGTAAGAGACTATTTCTTTACTAACAAACAAGTAAAGTGATCTTTTGAATTAAATAAATGTAATCCACACACACGAATTTGAACTTTTTACTTTATAAAGTTATCAACCGAATTAATTAAATTTCAATTTGAATGGTCCAAATTTAATGGAGTCGAATTTAATTTGATAATGTTAAACTCGATGATTATATTGATAACATTACCATGATAATGAGATAATGAGATTTGAGTAAATCGATATCTCTGCAACGTTGATTACATGCTTATCTGTTAAATGAAAAATGTAATTTTTATTTTTTTAATAATTAATAAATTTTATTTGAAATTGTTTGACAAGTTGCTCTTGTGACTTCTTCTATAGTAGAACTATGGCTATATGTTGCGGAGTATAATTTTATTGAATGAAAAAAAAAAAAAAAGGAGAAATTTTTGTGCTATTTTAAAAAAATGAATTAATATGAGCGTGTCACTGTAATTTTGTAAAATGCTTAAAAGATTTGAATATTAAATGAAAATACATACAACATTATTTGCATTCAAAAGAAAAAAAACAAACATACAACTAACATTATTTAATCATAAATGATGTTAGGTAAGTATCGGGGTACCGCAATAGCCATGTAGGTATGCACATATTTGAGTGAGGGGACAAGAGAAAATAAAAATCAGTAAATATATGAGAATCAATATCACAAATTATGTAAATCTAATTGTCGATAGACAAATGTAAATAAAGATATAATGTATTAATGAATTAGATTCGTTTACTATAAGTTAATCAATCAAAATCATAAAAAATGCAAGATTGATATGTACTAATGAATTTGATGATTTTACTATAAGTTAATCAATCGGAATCACACAAGATGCAAGACATATTGTTTTATCCAATTGGAACAATACAATAATATATATTTTTTCAAATAAAAAAAAATATTGGCAAATGACATTTTAGTGGCATGAAGTGACATTTTCAAATAGGAGGTCATAAGTTTGAGCTCAGTGAAGCGTATGCTTCAGTAGGTTGAGAACGTAGTTCTAAACAGAGTCAGTAGTACTAAAAATTTGTTGATTAGATACACATTTTTTTAAATTTCTATGCAAAACATTAAATACATACGTATTCAAATTATTGATTAAAGAGAGAAATTTCCTTTCAAAAAAAATTAAAGAAAGAAATATTATTGTATTTTAAAAAATGAACAATATTTTTGGCATTTTAATATACGGAGTAATAAAGAAAACAATTAGAAACATAAAATTAATTAGGTTGGCGTGAGTGGTCGTGCACTAGTCTGAATATGATACGAATTTAAAGAGATCTCATATGATTAGAGCCGGCTAAAGGCACATCGTGATCTGACGAAAAATAAACAATTTGTATTTACACGCAAAAAGTACAATTTATTATAAATTGTTCATTATTTTATATTATTATTTAAATGTATACCTTATAACTTTATAAGTAAATTAATCGTATCTATTAGGAATGACTTAAATGGTAAAAAATTGAGTAGTGTACTCCATAAAAGATTTGGTGCAGGTGTAAAGAAATGAGTCGCTGGAGGTTAAAGGCAAACGTGTGAAGTTTGACTAAATTGCGGTAATGTTATTACAGTACTAATCTTGCCTAACTCGCGGTAAAGTACTTTGTTGGCAGCTTAAAATACCTAACTAATTAGTCATTACCGAATAATTAATTAATTAATGACTGCTGCGAGGAAAGGTAAATACAATCGCTGCTGGTCAAAGTGCGTTGTAGAGGCAGCGACGTCCCAACTGCATAAAACTCTTACGTTTACGCCGTGAAGAGCTACCGCCATCGGATCCGCACTTCAAATGTGACAACGCCCCGTTTGCTTTCTGCTCAATAAACTTCGTCTCCATTGCTCTCGCGAAACCGGATCCGAATCTGTGAAACGTTAGATCCAGATCGATTCGAGCTTGATCTGATCTTCGTGCTTCGTTGATTGCATTTCGGTTGATCGAGATCGGTTAACGGAGGCACCGTACGCGAATCGGAGCTCGGAGCGAGGGGGAGGGAGACGGGAATCGGGAATCGGGAACATGAATATCCATGGCGGCGGCGGCAGAGGAGGAGTGGTGGAATGCAGTGTTTGTCACTCCAAGTTGGGGCTCTCGCCCCACTCCAGGGCGGTGTCCAAGGCCTACGATCGCCACCGGACGGACGTCTCATTGAAAACGCGCGCCTTTAATGTGTTTTTGGTCGTCGGTGACTGCATCCTGGTTGGCTTACAGGTATGCCTACGGAATTCAGTTTATCATTTTTGCTGTCAGTTCTCCTAGATAATCCGAGCTGATAATTGTGTTGTTTTGCTTGAGTTGCGAATTTGTCGGTTTTCAAATGAGTTTGTCTTTGTAAATTCTTTGCATTCTTCGTTGTTTTGCTTCGGTTGCAGCCTATACTGGTGTATATGTCAAAAGTGGATGGGAATTTTAACTTTAGTCCCATTAGTGTCAATTTTTTGACCGAGATCGCGAAGGTTATCTTTGCATGCGTGATGCTGTGCTTGCAGGTAGTCTCGATTTTCTGATTGCTTTAACATATTGCTGTATTATCATTTTTTTTTTCTGGTTCCATGCATTTAAAAATCTTATACCTTTTGCAGAGTAGGAATCAGAAACCTGGAGAAAAGTCTCTTCTTTCTCCTTCTACATTTGTCCAGGTTAGAACAGTTAATGCCACTTTCAATTGTTTCTCTGATAAGATATGAAGTTATATTGAATGAGTGAGTGATAGAATCATAGAACTACACTATAGAATATGAGTTTCACCTTTTATTTAGATTGCAGCAGTGTTGATATTGTACATTGTCTTGAAAATGTAGAACCTTCACTACAGTTACGGCATTGTTTAGGGTTAGATGTTCTATCTAGAGGCTAATTCATGTAATCATACCTGTGGTTTCAGTTTTCTTCTTTAGCCTCTTAAAATTTTTTATTGTGGAGTAAAGAATTTCATTTTGTAAAAACTTTCCAGTTGTGCTGTGTTGACTACAGTGTTTTCTCAAGACCATAGTGGTATCAAAATTAGCCAAATGTTATGTCAAAGTTAATGCTTTCCTCTTCCTTTTTGCTTGCAGGCAGCGAAGAACAATTGTCTTCTGGCTGTTCCAGCTCTATTTTATGCTATTAATAACTACCTGAAGTTCATCATGCAGGTAAGCTTTATAGAACTCTTTGTGGGAAAGGTTTTCTGTGTGAAATGGATGACCCTGGAAATAAGATACTGAACTTTCTGTGTCTCACAAGTTACTATGCATCTTCTTCTGTTTAGAATTTAACTACAGTTTTGTGATTCTCATGTGAAATAGCATAAAGATACAAAATACCATACAAGGATTCTTGTATTTGCTCATTTTCAATTTGTCCATTAAAAGCTGATAATTGATCTAGTTTTATTACTTTCTGCATTTGGGATTACTTGGGATCAATCTCTGACGGGATTGAAGAGCTTACTGTTACCTTACTGTTTTGTAATTGATCTTTTCTGATATTCCTCTTATGTAATTGAAGATCTTTAGTCCCTAAGCATTGCCATTCCTATCAATGATGATGATTCGCCTATTTAGTCTTTTATTAAAAAAAAAAAAAAAAAGTAACTGCTTGTCTATTTGAATAATAATTAGTATTACTCTCTGACAGATTCTAAGTTCTAATACATGTTTCCTTTGCAGCTGTATTTTAACCCTGCAACAGTTAAGATGCTGAGTAACCTAAAGGTATTATAATCTTTGATGTTCATGAGTAAACACTAAAATGTGTAATGTCTCGGGTGCACATTGATAAGTTTTTCTGTTCATTATAGACTGCCTTGGATGTTTCCCTGTAACTGATTTTGCTTCACATCAATACTTTCCTTCTAATTTTTCATTTTTCTTTCTTTATTTTCTCTATATATTCAGAGGAATGTATCCTCACCCAAGTGGAAGGCACTAACAATTTATAAAGACAATGACACCAAATTTTCCTGCACTTTCTTCTTGCCAAACACATCAAAAACTGCATCTACAAAATGTTGCTAGGCTGCTAGCTTTTCCCATTCACAGAGTCCCCGAAAGTTTGTTTGAAACATTCCAACAAGCTTCTCCCATAAATCCAAACAGCATCTGTACTTAAGTAGCCAAATCAATTTAAGTGACTAATAGTGTAATGAAATAAAATTATTCTTTTGCTTAGTAATGATATTATTCACAAAGCCCAAGGTGGTGCTTGCATAGAAAGTTACAAAAGGATTGTGAAATAAAATAAATTATATGGTACATATCATTTTCATGGTGGCTATTATAATTGAATATTAAGTTCAATTCTACCATGATGTTGTAGCAAGAGGAAAAGAAAGTTGGTCACTTTGCTTATGATTCTGGATGTTTATGTACTAGATGTCAAGATTTTTCTTTAACAAAATGTATAAGATCTGTCTTTTTATGTGACCCTTTCCTTGAAGTTCCATTTCTGATTATCTGTTTGACTAACAGGTTTTGGTCATAGCAATTTTGTTAAAGGTGGTCATGAGAAGACGATTTTCCATACTTCAGGTGAGTTGTGGGAGGCCCATGCTTTTTGGTTCTTATACTGTGATAAATTGTGAGCTATTATATGTTTTGTTATCTGTAAAAACCCTTCACATACTCATATAGTTTTGTCTGAAACTCTGTTCTTTGCCATAGTGGGAAGCTCTTGCACTTCTGCTTATAGGTATTAGCGTGAATCAGCTGCGGTCTCTACCCGAGGGCTCTACAGCTATGGGGCTTCCTGTAGCAACAGGAGCATATCTATACACACTGATTTTTGTAAGTGAAGTGTAAACCATTTGGTGTCAAACTTCTGGACATTAATTTCATCTTTGTACAAGCAGATATTAAGGGTGCTATGAAATCTCTCTTTTTTTTTTTTTTTTTTTTTTTTTTTTCTGGAAACAATGAAAAATTAAAGAACAAAAAATAGAAAACATGTTTACTTGCATAATTTTCCTTTTTTTTTTCAACTTAAACGAAGGAATTAGAAGTTAATTGTAGATTCTTGGCGGTACTATAGTTTGTTATACCCAACTACTGCATAAAATACCACTCTTTCAACGTTTATGCCTTTGGAGCACCATAATGTTTAAGGTGGGACTGGACACTAATCCAAAGGGTATTACATTCCCACATTTTTTTTTTAATTAATATTCTGTTTGTGACTTCTTTTCTTTTTCCTTTCCAATGATTACCATAAAGTATGGGACTGGACACTAATCCAAAGGGTATTACATTCACAAATATATTTTTTTGATTAATGTTCTGTTTGTGACTTCTTTTCGTTTTCCTTTCCAATGATTACCATAAATAAAATGATGTAGAAGTTATATTGTTCACCAAAGAGAACTGATGCTTATACTATGCATTGTTTTTTGTATACTTGTTTGAACTACAAACTCTCTATCCAAGTTGAGGGAATTTAGCCACTGCTATAATCTAAAAATTTCAGGTTACTGTTCCGTCCCTGGCTTCAGTTTATAATGAGTATGCTTTGAAGAGCCAGTTTGACACAAGCATTTATCTTCAGGTTCTATTCCATTGGCTATACTCTATGCGATTTTATTTGTTCTTTTCCCTTGGGGAAGGGGTTTGGGGAGGTGTATGTAGCTTCTGTTAAAGTACTAGCAGTTTTTATTAGTTCCAAAAGTTAGCAGTACCTAACAGACTGAAGTTAAAACTTCCCCTTGGAATACCGAAACTCCAAAAGTACTCATGCACAAGCACAAGCACAACTGCACAACTGCACAACCTTCCTTTGAGTTATAAAGTCTTGGGCAAAATAATGCAGTTTGATTTTTCAATTGCTTAGTCAATAGATACTGCTATTCATTTACCTTCCCCAAAGCTCTTCACTAGGTGAGTTGTTCATTCACTTATTTACATGCTTCATTTAAAGAATAAATTTTATGTATGCAGAACTTATTTTTATACGGTTATGGTGCAATCTTCAATTTTCTCGGAATACTTATATCTGCCCTTTTCAAAGGTATGCATTGACAATCATGTCTTTAAATTTTGTATTAAACTGCATTCTAACATTTCAGTATTTTAGTAATAAGAAACCTGTCAGTAAATTTAATTCCATCTTCCATTTTGTAATATTTACCTTAGCTCTTTGATTGTATCAATGTATTCAAATGCGCATGCATATAGTATCTCCCCATGCTGGTTGCTTAATAATGTACAAATGTTGTCTAGGACCTGATAGCTTGGATATTTTACGAGGACACTCAAAGGCAACTATGTTTTTGATATGCAACAATGCTGCACAAGGCATCTTGTCCTCATTTTTCTTCAAATATGCAGGTAAGCATCTTTCAGACTATTTTAGATTTCTTACAGTTTAGATATCTGTATGCCACTGCATACATTAGTAAGCGTACCTGATCAGGTTAGGTTAGGTTATGCGTGATCTTAGGAAAGTTGTTGTTTTATTTGACTAAATTTTGACACAAGATTTGATACTCGAAAACTCTGTTTGGCACAACTAGCTGTTAGAAGTTACCTGAAAAGTGTAAACTAAAAGATGATACACTAGCAAATTGAATATAAAGTAAAAGTAGTTGATGAGTATAAAATGATTTACAAATTACAAGGACATATTTTTCTGATTGATATCTTTAATACAAAAAGGAAAGGGTAGAATTGAAAAGAATGATTGAAAGCTAGCGTTTCATAACTATTGTGTTTTAGTTTTCTAGTTCAATTTTACTTGTATAGATTCTATAATCTTGCCACTACTATTGAAATGCATTAAAATTTATCAAAGCTTCATTTTGTTGATGTAGATACAATCCTGAAGAAGTATTCATCAACTGTCGCCACAATTTTTACTGGAATAGCATCTGCTGTTCTGTTTGGTCATACCTTGACTATGAATTTCATTTTAGGGATCTCTATTGTGTTCATCTCAATGCATCAGGTAATTGATGAAAGTTTATTGTTTAGTTCCTTTTTTTTTTTTCTTCTTGTGAATTTCCTCCATTTCATGTTTAGTACATTTTCAAAAAGTTCCCTGAAAATACATACTCCTGTCTTTCATTTTAGCTATTCTAAAAGCCTGAGGATAAACTTCCTGCTGGAAAAGTGACTGAAAGATGGCAATGTGTATATATTACCTATCTCATCTTATCTTAACTTTGGTCTGTTCAGTTCTTTTCAACCGCATCAAAAGTCAAGGATGAGACACAGAATGGTAGTCTTGAAATAATAGAGACTGAGAATAACTTCAGGTACCCATTTTCCTTAATATTTTATTTTCAGCTGTGCAGTGTGTTATATATCATATAATCATATATGGTGTGGTAAACATTTTCATCAATTGGCTGTGGAAAATGTTTGCAGGTCGAAGGACACATCATTTTTAGATATGGCAGCTGGAGCCCATGAGGATGTGAGTGTTCATATACTGCTAAAAATACTCTTACTGGTTCTTTTTTGAAGATTATGTGGGCTGACTCTGACATGCCTTATTTTCCTCATTTTTACAGGCAACTCACCGTGTTAAACACGATGAAAGAGAACCACTTCTCCCTAGATGAAATTATCATAGGTATGCATCTGTCTTTTTCAGATGGGGTGTGATCTCATAGTTCCCTTGCAGTATCTGCTTAGTACCTCTGTGCTGTCATACTGCAACATATTATTAACTGTATAAAATTTTAGTGAAGTAATTGTTACATCTCAGTGATACACTGAGTTTCTAATCTCTTACACCTTATGCGTCCAAGGATGGGAAACTGGGAAAGAGGTGTATAATTTCTGCCCAGAATTTACTGTTATTTCCTTTTTCTTTTTGACAAACCAAATTTTTGTAAGAGAACCATGGACTGCAACCTTGTTTTTTTAGGAGTAACATTGCATTGGTGATGCAAGTAAAATAAAAAAAGGTGGCCTCTTATAATCAACGATTTATAATAAAATGGTAGTACATATAATATAACTCCCAAGAAAGAGTTGGTTTTGCATGAAATAGTAAATCCTTAATCATCTTTTGATGGTATGTGCTATAGAGTTTGAGCTGTACAGGGAAATTGTTTCAGGTATATGATTGGAGCAGCATTCTTTGGCTGAACAATATGTTACAACGATTCTTTTTCCTATTCCCGTTCAGAAAGGTTGACAAATCTCCCATGAGAGAGCACACTTTGTGACGATTTTGAAGCCTGTTTTAGGGGATCCTGGTATAGAAGGGAATATTGTATTTATTGCATTTACTACATAGTAAAGTAGTTGCAACACCTCCCATACCTTTCCATTTAATACTGCTACTGCATACCCATATATCTTTTACTCAGGCCAGTGCATTTTGTGGCCGCAAGCAGACAGATTTAGACTATAAAAGTACTATATTCTATCTTTATGGCTCTCTTTTTCTCCATGCTCGTGTTGCCTGTCTGATATATTACCTTGTTAAGAAAGAAAAACACAGTTACATACTGTAATTTTTATTTTATCTGAACACTATACATAAACAGGAGTAGTAAGGAGAGAGTTAAAGGGAGAGATTTGGGTCTTCCTCACTATCTTCAATACTCGGGGATGTTTGGTAAATAGCTATTAGTTGATTGGATTAATGAGCTTAACTAGTTGATAGCATTAGTTGATTTATAAAAATATGTTTGGTAAATTAGCTGTTAGTTGATTACTTATAAAATGATTTTCTCAAAAAATTTATTGAAAAAGTTATTTTGAACAGTTTTTTGAATTTTAGTATTTTGGAGCAATAAAATGTTACAAAAAAATTAATCAAACACTCATATTGATTGTTTAACCAAGTTAAACATCTAATAGTGGTCAAACAAGTCAAATTTTACTGGGCTAACTATAGAGGTGATGACAGTGTAGTTCTAGTTAGTAAAAAAATGAAGATCATATTCTGTCTATGGTTATGACAATACATACATCCCTAATCAGTAAAGACCAAGTATAAAGATTGCCAGTTTATATCTCACCTTGGGGTTCAAATACCTTGTCATGTCCGTAGGAAGAAGCCATTATAAATGCTTTTGAAGATGATCAAAGGGCCGGCAGACACACTTTCTTTCATGCCTTTGCTTCAAGGTCAGCCTTCAATACTGTCACATTTAAAGACTAGGCGAACAGAGATGATACGCAACAAAGCAAATTTTTATATCAACAGCACCATCAAAGAAACTTATACTAGTATCAAGTCGGGGAAACAGTTTCTCATCCAAAACAGATTTGAGCTTATTATTAATATTAATAATACTTTAGAATTTTATTTTTTTTTACAAGAAAGCCATATAAGATGTATAAAGATCAGCATTTACAGGCTTACTTTCTAAAAAGTGCTACCAGTTCTGTAGATTGCATACACCATTAACAGTGGAATAGACATGCTATAAATTGGGAAGTGGACAAATGGGTTCATCTCATATGCTTTGGAAAGAGCTAGGCAACTCTGCATAGATAAAGTAAATATGGATCAACAGTAAGTAAGCCAACCCCAATAGATACTACTATTTCCTAAAATGCAAAAAAAGAAGGTAAGGAGAAGAGAACACCTATGTTATCAGCTATAGCTTCTTGTGTTATCTAAAACATATAGTTTTTGCTAGTAATGAGAAAGGTACACTAGCCATCTTTTAAAATTAGAGAAAATCCTTTACATATTTAAAAAATTCTTTTTCCCTTCTTCTGAATCATGTGTAGCACAATCCCCTCCATAACTCCATTACATTCCAAATATTTTAAGTTAAAGCAGATGTTTTATTTGCAATTAAAAAATAAAATTGAAACACATGAGCTATCTAAAAATCTTGAAACAAAACCTATCATATCAAGAATACAGAACACGATTAGACTTCAAATAGGGTCCCAGAAAGTGGAAACAAAAAGTGAATTCTCAAATGCCTGAAATGGATGAGTCAGAACTTACCAAAAAATGGATACAACAAATTGTCAGACAAAACACCAGGAGAACTTTCCTAATCCATCGCACACGAAAAAGTACCAGTTTCAAGCTATAATTTCTTCCATGAGTAAATGAATTCGATCCCTTATTCTTTGCATCATAATCATCCTCTTTTTTACTGGAAAGTACACGTATATTATCTCGGTGAATTCCTGTTTCGGCAACCAATGCTCCAATTACAAACACAGTAGGCAAAACCACAACATAAAGGTGTGGAATAACAATCACCATTATATCCGGAAACCCTTCAAACTGTTGTTCTTTTGAGTTGAACTTCAATGCCCAACCTCGATAGGTCATGTATAACTTTTTTCCATCCACAAGACCTTGGCCACAAAGCCAAGGACATAATATGAAGTAAAACAAGTAAGCAATTATACAGCACCATACCCGTGGAATACTGTATAGTTCCATCGTAATCCATGTTACATAACTTGCTAGTCCTCTGTTCGTATTGAAATTTTTGTAAGTATATTGCTTTCTAGAAAATGATAATATGGCTTTTGGAATTAGTAGAGTGGATAGAATAAACATGTAGAAGGACCACAACAATGGGTAATATAAAGCATCCCATTGATAACCCATAACAATAAACTCTTTCCAATTCTGTGAGAGCATAGCACGTCGACCACCAACAGAAAATGGTCGTAATTCAGTCAAAGATGATCTTACTCTAATATCAACTGCCTCTATTTGTAACAAGAATCGTTCAGGTGATGGATCTTCAAAGGCTTTGAAATTCCAGGGGCAACTATAGAGGTCCCCCCTTGAGGCATTCCCAATTTTCTTCATTGGAGACTCGAATGCTAACATGAGATTTCCAGGCCTTGAATCATAGATTCTGGCCACAACAGACACCATTGGTAATGAAGAAAACACAAGCGCTCTGATATAGCTGTAAAATGTAGGATCCACTGACTGAGACTTGTCCAAAATAAAACGCGAGTCAAGTGGGAATGTAGGCAATATAATAGTTTCTTTCATACCCAATCTGAAGTCAACATCAATAAATGATATGCAGCCTCTATCAATGGCCAAGATGCGCATTGTTCTGCTCTTCTTCCAATCACCCAATTCCCACTCCCAAAACTCGTGAACTTCATTGGCCTTCATAGAAAAGTGTTTAGGTCTTTCATGAACCCATTTTAAATTTGTTCCAAATGTTCTATGTAGATGCCCACACAAGTAAATGGACACAGATTGGTCCAGAAATACATCCTTCAGAGTCCTCCCAGAATATGCTGGGGCAGAAAGGGAAAGGGGAAAGTGCCCAAATGAAATCTTGAGAACAGATTTTGTAGGTTGAGTGTTCCATTGTGAGAGTTCTGAGTTTATTTCAGTTAATAGCTGATCAGTTGGATGACCAAATAAGTTAGTTGGGCCTCGTAACCCTGAAGACATTGTGCTGTCAAACCCGACAAAAAGTATACTGTGTGTGCCAGTCTGGATGATGGAGTGCACGCATTAAAGAATGAAAAAATGCTGAAAGGATTAAAGCATTTTACCTAAAACAAAACATGCTAGTATTATTAGCGCAACCAAACCAAACAAAGAAATCTCCAAATGGATTGATTAAATTTGTAAGAGAATAGTTTAGAGTATAAACCATTGAGCATGACCAATAAATAAACCAAAAGGGGCATGCAACAATCCTCTTTACACTTTATACGGTGAAAATGGTTTTACGGTTGAAGTGCATATGATCTCAGCAAAGGTCAATTACCAACTCAAAACCGAAATAGAAAGGCAAGATAATTGCAATAGGTAATGTCAATGTGAAACAATATCTAATCTTTTCAATCTCAAGGCAGTTGGAATTGAAAAAAATGATTGTGCAATAGCAATAGCAATAACTGAATAAACATTAAAGGTAACAATTGGCGGAGATGACAAAACAGATATTCCCTCTAGGCTCAAAATGATTAACTTCTAATTTTAGTCCACCCCAAAATGGTTCACCAACTCCCATAATTGGCATGTTTTATGATCTTCAAGAATTAGAGTTACCCACAAAAAGAAAGAGAAGTCTAACTAATCCTTTCACAACACTTAATTCACACTTTGATTTCAAAACACATGTCGGCTTTGTGCAGTCAAAGTAGATCAATTAAAATGGAATAGGAGCGGCTTTCAAACAAAAAAAAAAAAAAAAAAAAAAAAAAAAAAAAAAAAAATTGGAATAGGAGCGTATACAAATAGGGGGGGCCATATTAGCAGCCAAAAAATGTCGAGGGAACCTCATAACAGCAGAAATATTTTTCTTATTTACTTTTTTTTAAAAATTATTTATCATCATCAGCATTTTGCACCCTTCAATAGGTCTTACAGCAACAGAAACTGGAGAGGGACTAACCTGAACTCTAACACTGTTGACCAGTCCAGTTCTTCTCAGCTGTGCATTGATGCTATATTTTGAGTAAAAATCAAATGCACCACCAATGCTTGCACCGTAAGTATCATGATTTCCTCTTAGATCAAAGAAATTGTTTATCTTCAGTCCACTCCTTTTAATAACATCTCCCATCACTTTCTGATATTCTGCCCACTCCGCTTCATCTTGCTTTGTTGTTAGTAAATCTTTGCTTTTTGCATCTGGTAGAAGTCGAGAAATGGATATAATAAGAGTGTTCCACACGGTGATGGTTCAAATAATTAAATGTTAAACGAGTGTGTTCAGTTATTGGAAACATCAGGAGAAACTGAAACGGAAGTGCTTTCAAAAGAATATTAGGTTTCTTTCCAGTAACCCATAAATTCTCCCATGCGCGGTTGCACACTTTAACCCAAAACCAATTTTTCCATCACTGTAGCCTTATTGAGAAACTTGTTTACAGTTTCAATGACTAGGATTACTGGGAAAGGAAAATGAGAATCTCCTACAAGGAATCGGGAATGTCATTTATAATATCTAAAAAGCTCAGTCAGTGAATATCAAGCTTCAAATGATTTCTAGTGCTTGTTTGGCCTAACTGGAGTTCATTGAAAGAAGACTTTTTTTTTTTTTTTATCAGCCTCAAATGTGAAGGTTGTTGAACAAGAGATTTTTGACTTAATTGGCTTTAAAATCCTTTTTCACTTTTTGGTACTTGGCCCAGTTTATGCTTTTTGGAGAATATGAGCTAAAGTAAATTAGGGGCCAACAAATACATAGCAACTACCATACCCATCTCAACCTTCCCATCCTTGAGAAGTCGAAGCCTCACTGTTATCATTTACAATGCCTAGTTCCTCAAACAGCTTCTACTAAAAACCTGGGACTTCAATTTCCCTAGCTTCTCAAAGTTCTGACACCCAATTTTAGCTATGAATTGTCCATGTGATGAGCATGGGACTTGGGAGAATGATAAATGAACTTAGTCTGCAATCAGTTCTTCCTGTGCATTAGAGTAACTAGCCTACAAAGTTGACCTTGATATCTTGCCTTCACTTGCAATCACTTCCTAGAAGTGTGGTAAAAAAACAGAGAGTCCACATTTAATTATTTATTTGCAATTTAGAAACCTGAAATCTCTGGAACTCAAACTGGAATTGTCCCCATTTCTTCCCAAGTGAAATTAGTCCCAGGATGGTTAAGAATCATAGAGATTGTTATGATTAACAAGCTGAACATTTCACATAAAATGTGTCAACATTGATATGAGGGAAGACAACTAAAGCGAACGCGTGGAATGAAGCAAAGAGTTACCGGTAAGGTCACCAGTGATGAATACCAGGGAAGGATTAACCATGGCGAGAGTAGGGCCCACGATGTCCTTGAAGTCGACGGCTCTCTCCGGATGGTGTGCGCTAAAGTGCAGATCAGAGAGCTGAACAATCCACGCCACATCCTCTGGTCCGCCCTGTAACTCTATAACCGCTCCATTACCACTGTTATTATTAGTATAAATTTCACTTTCGTTCACGAAAGCTGCTCCTCCTCCTCCTCCTCCTCCTGCAACGCCGCCGCCAGGTGATGCCAATGCCAGCACGGCCGCCGTCAAGCAAAAGCTGAAAACGATACTGATCATCGCGGATCAAATTACAGTTGTCCAGAAATCAGAAAAACCATTACCTTAGGAAAAACCTCATTTTCCTAGCTTAGCTTATACAATCATCAGTGATTCAGTGACACTCCAGGTGTTCAATGAGCAGAGCTCTCCATTTCCGAACGCGTCCTTTCTCTTCCGCCTGTTCACGCCGCCGATAAACCACTCACCATAGGTGTTCTCAAAACTCCATTGATTCCATTCTTTGTTTGTAGACTTTCTTTTTTCAATAATGAAAGTCGCGTAAAGGGTCGGGATTTGACGGAGTTATCAAAGTGTATAGTTAGTCTTTTCCGTACCAAAAAAAAAAAAAAACAATTATATTTGAAGTTGAATAAGATTTTAAGTTAACTTTTTTCTTGATTTGGGCAGGCCAGTACTAAAAAAACGCTTAATTTTAGCGTATAAAATTTATATATAAAATTTATAAAAAAAATAGTTGGTTCAACCAATAATTAGTATCAATCTTATTTTATTTATTATATAATTGTTTAAGGGTTAAATTAATTCTTTTTTTAAATTTTTTTGTTCAGTAATAGTTTTAAGAGTATGGCATTGAACTGTGACAAATTTCAAAGTTTTAAAATTTCAGTCTAGTTAAACTTTAAGCTAGGGGTATTTACACACAACTAATGTTATTTTTGAGTGTAGTCCGAATTTTCACCGTTGAACACATAGTAATTAATCCCGGCTGAATTTAAAGATGCTCAATACCTAAACCCAAGATCAAACCATTGACCTTTAGTAAAGAAGGAATGAATCACTTTGACTCAACCACTACATACTCTCCAAGTTACAACAATGATGATATAAATCTAGTGATATATGTAGATTATATTCATGTATGCAATAATATATAAAGTTTATATATGCAGTAGATATAGAGTAAAGAGAAGATTATTGCATCATTGTATTGTGACGTTAGAAAGCATATATATATATATGATATATGGTGTTTAATTTACCTTTCCGAGGATCCCTTCAACAGAAGTTCCCAAAATCATAGCAGGTGATGAAATCACATGCTATTCATGAACTTCTGTTGATCGAGTACCAAAATTCATTACAATATATATAAATATCCACCAAGCTAAGCACCAAAGAAAAAGCTATCAAGATCCCTATTTTTCTTGGTTCAATTCATTTGAAGTAATAATAAAACGAGAATTCAAAAAATAAAAACTAGTTATAATACACCTTCTAACTTGATCTTTCGCCATAACTGAAGGACCCACTGGTTAGACTTTCTATGTATCATTCCACGCCGGAAAAGTGGCCGGAGTGGCGTGACAAACGGCGGCCATGTTTCCCGCCCTTGCCGTGATGGTCGGAACGGCCGTTGGGACCCAGTTGTTGCAGGTGGCGGCGGGGTTCGGCGGTTGCTGGGAGTTGTAGAGGTAAAAGCTTCTTTCTTGATTGTATGGATCCGGGGAAGATGAAGAAGAACCGAACATGTTGTCGCTGTAACCGAGCGGCTTCACCTCGTTTTCTCCGAACCCGTTTGTCGGGAGGGTCCCATCGTGTCCAATCGGCATCATCACGAAGCCGCCGTTAACGTTGTTGTTACCTCCTCCCTCTCCGGTGACGCCATAGCTAAGCTCCATTGAAGAGGAGTCCAACCCCATCAGATTGTGTATCACGGAAGGCTGCAGAGAGTTATTGTGCGCTGCCGCGGCGGCGGCGGCGGCGGCGCTGTTGTACCCGAGCTGAAGCTGATGAATATCTTGAATGCCACCGTGAGTGACGTCAGCGTTATCGTGCGGTTGATGTTGTTCTTGCTTGCACCAGAGGGGGAGCCTCTGGGGGTGGGCGTAGGGGTAATGCATGTTCAGCGGCTGAGCTTGCTGGAAAGCGAGGGAGGGCCAGCCGTGGTGGTGAGCGGCGGCGGCGGCGGCGCCGTAGGTGATTCCGTCGGTGAAATGTGAGAGCAGTCCGATGTTGTGGGTGTCTTCTACTGTTCTTTGTGACCTCTCCGACTGCTGCTCCGCATCCTTGAGCCGCTTCGCCGCCGCGCCTATGGGCAAGGTGGCGCTGTCCATTATGCTCTTCACGTCGTATCGACTGATCTCGAAGTTGGTAACGGCGTTCAGTCCCCGGAATCTTATGGCGGCGATGTCATACGCCTCCGCCGCTTCCTCCTGCGTGCCTAATCGCCACATATATATATATATATATATATTTAATTTCAAACAACGTATATACTAATAATAATAAATAATAATAATAAAAAGCTAAGACCACACTGCCCATAATATATATAAATAATAAATATATAATTTTACCATTTAAACTTGTGACCAAACATATTTTTCAATTATATTATAACATAACAGTAATGAAAGGAGAATGGCTTACTGAAAGTGCCCAAGTAAAGATCCTTGTTTCCAGCTACTCTTCCAATCCTGGCCTGCCATCTTCCATGCTGATGGTGCCTGCCCGCAATACACCCGTTGAGAGTTTCATATTGAAAATTTATATATATATATATATATATATATATATATATATATATATAAAATTATAATCAATTTTATTCATAAACTGTAATATAATGTATTCTAGTTACCTTGTTACACCGCGATAAATGGATGCACCACGGGAGAATCCGCTGCTTTTCCTGCAACATATATAAACACCATGGTGAAATGACAACAAATATTATAGTAATGATGAAATGAAAATTATTACGTTTTAGTCACAAGCTAAGACATGTAACATATTATAACCCTTGTAATGTTAAGTTGTTTCAGTTTATAATAAGATTCCTGGAAAAGGGAATAGTCTCACCTTCGTAATGACGCGACATACTCTTGTCTGGTCATATGTTTCATCTCCTCAAGTTCTTTCTCATAGTTGCTAATCTGAAATTAAAACACATTATACATACATAAAAATTTACATCAAAACCATGGATGACTGCTGCGTATATGTATATATATATATATATACTCACCGGAAAATTAGTGGTGGTAGTAGGACCCCAGTACTTAAGTGCAGCTAAATCGTAAGCTCGGGCCGCCTTTTCTTCCTTGTCATAACCTCCTACAGAACATTACATTACAGTGTTACACCATATTGAAAAATGTGTTTTGTTTCAACGAATAATGATATTGGAATACGGGTTTCGTTTTCACTTACCCAAGTAAACTGCAAGCAGTGGAACAGTACGTGGGACGACGCCAAACACAAACCACAGGAAAACAGATTAGATTAATTATATTAGCAGTAATTAGAGCAGCAGAAAACAGTGGCAGACAATAATTTAAGGAAGTTGCAACTGTAGTGTTTAAGGAATTGAGTAGGTTGTTGCTAGAGTGGTGCACAGTTTACCTTGCCTTCCTTTGCGGGTTTGTCCCTCTCTCCTACAGCTATTATCCCACAAATGTGCCTCGTATCTCCCAGTCCATCGATGCCTGCACCCAACTCAAACAAATTTCAAAATCAATTTTAATTTGCAAGTATAAAAGATTGAGATTTGATTCAAAAAATACCCGCAATCACTATATTGTGCTGATAACAAAAGAATTACAAAAGGATTAGATTTCACGTGAGCATCCAACTATTAGTTTAAAATTTTTATTGAGATGAAGCCCATATTTTAATTTGATATCAGAGCCAAACTAAAAGTCATGGTAGCTTAAGCTTTTAGTTGATATGGGACTATGTAACTCTCACTTAGAATTATTATTTATTATATTGTACCTTGTGACGCCGCGGTAAATAGAAGTTCTCTGACCAAAGGTGTCGATGGATTTCCGGGACGTGGCGTCAAGTCCGTTGGCCGTAGCGGTGGAAGTTTGTGCGTCGGCGATGGCGGTAGCCGGAGACTGGCTGCTGGTTCCGTTTTCAGTCTGTTGACTGTTGTTCTCGCTCTCCGACAGACAACCTGCGGCGCTACTAGTAGTTGCAGCAATAACGTGATGAAGATGATCGTTCTCGCCGCCGCTGATATTCAGGAGCGGGAGAGCTGCGGCGGCGGCGGCGGAGCTGGGCTGCGACGCCGCGCCCATGGACAGCGACAGGCACTGGGCTTGAGAGCTGCTCATCATGCCGGCCGCCACCACACAACCGCCGCTGTCACTGGTAGTCTTGTTAGTGCGCAGCCAGTTCTTTATCATCGAGAGCCCAAAAGTAGGGTTATTGTTAGCGTTAGCGGCGGCGGCGGCGGCGGTGGTGGTGCAAGCTTGAAGCTGCCGGTCTCTTCCGATTCCCAGAAAGTTCTCCAGCTTGGGTGCAACTTCTTGCTGGCTTTCGAGGCCGTGTTGACTGAAAATCATCGTTTCCGCGTCTTTCATATGACTCCAATCTACAACATATTTTATATATGCATGAGACAACGTGTGTAAACACAACACAAGATGTTTAATTTACCGCCATTGATGAACTTCCATTAAAACTATTAGGGTTTTAAACCACACAAACTGCAAAAACTAATAATTAACAAGACAGAAAACTTTACTTAGTAACTACAAGGTTACGAGTTCAACTTCCAATTGCTAGTTCAAACTCAAAAAACCATCCAAAAGTGGCTGTGAGTTTCCTCGTCACTCAAAAGACACAACACAAGCTTAACCTAGATTTATTTAGTACTGACCTTGGGACTGGTGATTTCTAGAGCTGAAACCTTCGAGTATGCCGAAGGGGGAGGTGGAGGGGAGCATTCTCCGGCAGCTAAGATCAAAGCAGTCTCCGGCGGCGGCGGCGGCGGAGACGTCATCAGAAGCGGAGATGGACGAGATCTCCTGGGGCTGAGGGTCCTGGTGAGGAGAAAGAGAGAAGCCTAGCCAGTTGTTCATGGAAGCCGCCATATATATATCCAGAAACTCAGCAAAACATTCTTAAAATAAAAATTAAAAAAAAAAAATCCTAAGAACACAGAATCAAAACCGAAAGCTGATGCATGGAAAGACGATGAAGTTGCAGGGTGGTAACAGAATCAAGAAGTATGAGTTTGATGATCAGAAAAGAGAGAAGTTGCCATTTTTGCGTGATTTGAAGGAGAAGAAGAGAGGTTCAAATAATGAAGAAGAAGAGAAAGTCATTTCTTCCAAGGCAAAGTGAAGCTATTCATATAATATGAACACCTTAACTCTCTTTCTCTCTCTCTCTCTCTCTCAGAATTCCACCTTTCGAGAAAAACGGAGAATATGAATAATTAAAAAGTACACGAGGATAGTAAAAATCAAATTCTTAACTGTAGCCTGCTGTCATGATTTCTCTTATTAATAAATTAATTATTTATTTTTAAATAATATTTGTATATTACCAATTTACATGAAAAAAAATACTTCTTAAATTTATATATATATATATATATATATATATATATATATATATATATATATATATTCTTAAAAATTAGATTTCTTTACGTTTTTTTTTAAGCCTAAACTTCTTAAGTTACTTGAATCTGTAATAATAAAATGAGACGCATAGAGCATTCAGTGGTCGAACAATATGCATCAAATCTATCATTAAATTTAGTGAACAATATTAAGGGACACTATTGAAATTTTGTGAATTTTTGCCCTATTCATCTCTCCACTTTTTAAATAATTACGGGTAAAAAATATGATAGTATCCTGTTTTTTTTTTTTTTTTTCTGAGAAAATCTCTGAAATTATGTTTATTTTTTGGTGAACAATAAATTCTAAAAAAAAATTTGTACTGTATAGATCTTGTGTAATGAATTTGATTAAGATTATGTTAACAACAATTAAACTTATAACTATTTAGGTAAACTAATAACGTTTCACCAACATATTCAACTATACTTTTCAATGTTGTAATTCATTTTTCTTGATACACGAAATGGATCCGCAATCCCAAGGAGCCCCACGTCCCATCCCACAGAGCATAGGAGAGGGTGTAAATTGCTCTCACACTGTCGCGGGTGAGACTCGATCCCTACCGGATCAATGTTCTCAAATTTCACTCATTTGACCAACTGAGTTATTTATGGGGGCCGAAGATTGTGTGTTCTTCTTCTCTCAAAAGATTGTATGTTGTTATAGGACAGTTGAGTCATTTAACTCCTTTACATGTGGGATATCCAATGAGCATTGCATGTGATAGTTTCGTAATCGTAAAACAAGCCTAAACAATTACAATCTTTGGAACTTCATGGATGATATCTTTGACTATCATTTAATAGTTCTAATGACTAACTCGCCCTTCAGATGTTTAATTCATCCCAACGTGCATTATAGGACTTAAATTTGGAATGTAATTAAATATATTTTTGTCACTTTCTATTATAAAAAATCACATGGTTTTACATACTATGTTATAACATTTTCTATTTAAATGTACGGCTCAGACTTTCATTTTAGCAACTTTTTTTTTTGATATTTTTTTTTTTTGGGAATAGCAACTTCTTTTTTTTTTTTTTTTTTTTTTGATAAAAATGAGAAATGTCATTAGACTAGACTAACTGACTAAGCATTATCAGCCAACACACTATGTACAAGAACAAAAACAAGTGTCAATAGTTATAATTTGTGAATTTAAGCACTCTTTATACAAAAAAAAAAAAAAAAAAAAAAAAATCAAATTGTGCTGGTTAGAACACAACTTAAGTTTGAAACTATTGTGAGATGGGATAAATAATTAAAACGTGTGGGGACACTGCTAAAGTAATTGTTGATGCGAGACGTGTTAAAGGTCAACTTGGTACTACAGCTGTCATGGTGAGTAGTTATTGAGAGATACATTAAGCATCTGGACAAACAATTTTACATTTGGAATTGGGATTACATATCATTTAAGTGCGACTTCGTCAAAGATTATATTTATAATAATTTCGTAATATTGAATATAATTTGAGCGTGATTCAAGAATTATCGTTCAAATGAGTAAAATATTGAATCATCGTTGAAATGAGTAAAATATGAGAGGGAAACGTGAACCTCCCCATGCATATTGTGTGGGCAATTAATTTGATGTGCTTGTGTAGGAGTTAACGTTGTTCTACTTTTTTTTTTTTTTTTCAACAACTCCTCCATTGAGGCTCGATCTCATAACCTCCTACATGGGGAGGTCATTACATGTCATATGACCACAAGGTGCTTGGCAAGAGACTAACTTCTATATATTAATTAAATGACAAACTTTCATAATCATGGTGAGCATGGATTTTGATTTTTTTTTTTTTTTTAGACTTTACAACCAAAGTTGTATTTAAAAAAATTATATGCTGCAAAAAATAATCATATAAGTTTTCTCTTTATAAATATTAATTAAATGTTGAAAATAAACTATTTGGAGTTAGTAAGAGAAAAAATGTCAACGGTGTGAATTGAAATTTTCTAATGAACATTTTCAAATAAAAAATAAATATAAAACCTTGAAATTTATTGGCAGTTTCTAAATTATGTAAAATATGTCCTTACACCTTTAAGAAATTTTTATTTATATTTTGGTTGACGGGAAACTTTTGGCAAATTTTTATGTCAACATGAATAAGATACACATATTCAATATATATATATATATGTATATATGTATATATATTATTATGTATTGAACGTACATTACTTGATAATACATAAAATAATGTACATTTAGTATACCAAAATGTACATTGTATTCACGAGTTGACCATATAGGCCCTGTTTGGTAAAATAGCTGTTAGCTGATAGATGTTAGTTGTTAGCTGATTGTGTTAATTAGATGGTATAAATAGTTGATAATATTAGCTGATTGTAGAAAAGTGTTTGGTAAATTAGCTGTTAGCTGTTAGCTGTTAGTTAGTTGTTTGGTATAATTTCTTTTCTCAAAAAGCTAATTGAAAAAGTTACTTGGGGTAGTTTTTTCAATTTTAGCCTTTTGGAGTTGCAAAAAGTTATTTAACCAAACATTTATATTGATATTTTAACTAAATCAAACAATTAATAGTGGTCAAATAAGCTAAAATTGGCCCATAGGCCAATTTTTTACCAAACGGGGTCATAGTCCATGGAATAATGATCGGAAAAACTTGGTGCCACTACTCGATGGTTGGTGTGTATTAAGTAAATCTCGTTCTTGTATAATAATCCACAAATTACACAATATAGATAAATTACACTAAGAAGGTACTGTTCAATGAGTTCGATTGAGAGGGTAGGTGTTGGCAAACATTGAATTTAATGACACTTTTTAAATTATTTAAAATATTTCCTTACCCCTTAAGAATTTTTACTACTTCATCATATCCAACAGCTTGAATCTCAAACCCCAAGAGCCACCCGCACTATAAGAGAATTTTTTGGAGTCTTCTAACATAACTAGCTTGTGAATTTCAGAAATAATGTGATTTTTCTTTTTTTTTTTTTCTTTTTGAAAGGAGAAATAATGTGATTGAAACTATACATATATGTTGAAGTATATTTACATTGAAATCAATTATTACGCTAATTGCAGGGTGGTTCTTCCCTAATTACTAAGCTACAAAACTTTGACATCTCATTGATGACATTAAACCTTTTTTTATTATTATGTAAAATTTCCTCCTTTTGTTTAGGTAAAATGAAATTTCCATTAAACTTTATAAATCAAATGTTCAATACAAGTGAGAAAATAAAATAACCAAGTAAAAAGACCAGAATGAGTACTATACTTGTTACTTTAGTCAAAGCATGAGCAAGCTTATTCACTAATCTGCGGATATATATACCAAATAAACTTTGATTTAAAGTGTCTTTTAATTGATGATCTATAGAGGCGTGAAAAATTGCGTATCGTACCCCATTGTAATGCAATCTTAGTTAATAACATATAAATATTATAAAATTCTTTTACAGTGTCATATATATATATATATATATAATATAATTGTAGCATATACATGGTCAGAAATATAAAATAGTCAAATATTTTTTAAAAATACAAAGTAGTAATAGATACAATATGGGTGTATAGAATAGAATTTTTGATAGATACTAAAATAGGGGCGGGTTGGGAGGTGGTGGCCTGGCGCATGCCGAGTTGGACAAAGGTCACATCAATGTCAGACTGCCACTGCCACTGTCACACCCCCTAATCTAACCACTAACCAACCAACACCCTTTTCACCTTCATTTCATGCCAATTTCCCATCTTCAATTCTAACCCATAACTCTCACGTTACATCATTCATTATATTCCATCCATTTCATCATACACACACACATACATATGTATGCCCTACTTCAAAAAATAAATAAATAAAATTAAATAGTACTGATTCTGTTACATTGCAGTATCTGTTTATATAACTACTTTCTCAACCTACTGAAGTATAAAGAGTTCATATTGCCTCCACTGAAGCTCGAATCCATGACCTCCCATACAGGAGTCACTATGTGCTAGACCACAAAGTCATTGGCCTACTTTTAATAGGCATGATTCGGCGAATCTATTACATAGACTTTCAATCTTACTCCATGATATAGCGAGTACTGATAAGCTATTTTTTCATATAAGTTTCAGTACAAATGTCTACATCAAAATTTTGTGTGTGAAATAAAAAGTTGAAAGTAGAAAATGAGAATACGTCTAGAATATATATAACGTAAAAAGAACGCATGATTAGTATACAACTTGATTAAATCAAAACATCAATGTTATAGCTATAGTACGTATTTCACTATCTTATAATCAATATATAAGATTATATTATTACTCATTAAACACATCAATTCAAGTATCATCAAATATAATACATCTCACGATCTTTTTCAAATCAAATTTTCTTCAAAAATGTTATCACGCACAACACTAAACACATTATTGCATAAAAAACATGCATACATACATATAATTTCTTATTTTTTAAATTTATTTATTACATATTTTAAATAGTGATTTCAAGTTTTTCTCATTAGTTAAAATAATAGTTTTGTAGCTTTAGGTAGTATGGATGATGAAACTGCTCCCCCGCTAGGAACGGGGGACTCTCTCTTCCTCTCTCTCCACTGCGCAGATAACAATAATTGATACATGCATGAGCATGGCTGACACTTTGTCTTCTTTTCCCTTTTAATATGTTTTTACTAATAAAAGGTTGTAAATAAATATACCCAAGTATCTTTTGGCTTTTTGCAGATAGATTGCAAAGTGGAGAGAGAAAGAGGGGGTATGAGGAATTGTATATATA